CTTTGCCACAATCAACTACAATTCCTTGGTTACCAGTGGTTGTGGCGACATGGTCTGGAGAACCGCAGAACCTGCCCGACCGCCAAGGATTCGGTTTGCCCTACGCTTGGGCAGAGGAGCGGAAGAAGGCGCTGTATGCCTCGGCTTATGTACTGCACCGGATTGGAAGCGCACCCCATGCATGCCCACGATCTGATGCCATGTCAGGGCCAAGATGCATATATCACAAAGAGGATGAGAAATGAAACCCAGCTCAACGTGCTAAACGATTCCTGGGCGGTGGTGAGTCAACTGTGAGCATCCGCTTCAACGTATGGCACGAAGCGAACATTGCGCTGTTGTCGTCAACTTCGGCAAGAGGAAATCCAGGCAAAGCTTATGCAGTCATGCCGACGGCATGGCCCAACTGGCATTGCCAGGGCCTGCATTCTCAGGCTACAAGACATACATCCCCCCCACAAGTTGGCCAGGGTTCAATGAAGCCCTGCACGAGGAGCCAGAGATTCCTGGACATCTTTATAACCTTGGAGGCAAGGTTCAGTTCAACTCCCGTGCGTCAGGGAAGCTCCGGTTGTGGATCTGCAACTTACACGTGCCCTTGCGGAAGTGGTCCGCTGAGCCCTGTCCGGGCGTTTGGCCTTCAACCACCAAGCACCCGTTCACCGGTCCAGCTAGCTAGTTGCAATCTGGCGGCTCGTATCAATTTCCTCAGCTGAAGACCGGACAGGGGGACATCATGCGCATCTTCAGCAAAACCCTCGGAAACTTTCTCAGTGACCCTTGGAGATGCAACCTGAAGAGAAAACTGTTTGTCTCATAAGTCCTGGGCGCACTAAACGGAGGAGACGCATGACTCGCACAACGCGAAGAAATCCGAGGTCCATTGTTGTCTCACCTTGATGGACAAGAAAGTTGCACGATGTTGCATGAACCAGAATAAGTTGGATTAGCCTGTTCGCAGTGCCTTGTTTTCTAGTGTCGGTCAGAGTCACGCGACCAAGCGAGAGGGGCTACCCAGGCGTCGTAAATGGAAAGCATCACTAAGGACAGGTCCTTGGCTGAGTTGCCACATATTCTTGCAAGAAAGAAGGGCCGAAGCCCAGGCCGCGGCAATACAGAAACCTAAGCCATTCATTACCAGAAGAAGATTCTGAATATGGTCTCGTAAGCCTCTATTGCACCCCCAATATATCCATGCTAAAGAGGTCCCATCCCACTCGGTCGTCGGCTAGTACCTGCTGCCATGCTGCGAGCCAATTCCATGCATCGCAGAAATAGGAAAGCCGTAGAAACCACCACTTCAGCAGCATCTCTGCTATCCAGATAGAGCAGAACACATTCCTCAAAGGCAAGATGAGACAAAAGTAAGTGGAATAGCTGGCTCGCAATATGAAGCTAAAAGCTGAAAGTGCCGGATCGTGTGCACGAGTGGAGCACCATCCATCATCCAACTAAGGCTTTGAGGGAACGGCAAAGCATGGCAAAACTCTGCAATGGTCAGAAACACACATGGCCGCGCATCGAAAGGTCGGCATCAGACGTACCAAGTGCAGCTGAAGTGCTCGCAGGCGATCCAAACCATGGGATCCGTCTGCCTTGGCATGAAGTGCACCCTGGAAAACCATGAAGCTTGAAGCTCAGGTTTGTTGTTAACCCGTCAGATGCCGCGGTTGCAGGGCTGTAGTTGTAGCAGAGTTCTTTCTTTCTTCTTCTGTGCTCACGTGGTCTTTCTCTCTGGCGGAGCAACTGCAGCAGCAGACCCACCGAAAAAAATCTAACTGCAAACGCCCATGCCGCCCATGTCCTTACAAACGTCACAAAAACGACGCACGCAGGACGTGTAATGCTAAAGGTTCATGGATAGCCAGAAGCTACAAGTAGCCCCAAGCTGGCTTACCAGTACAGCTATCCCACTAACCCTACTCGTGGAGGGGGGGGGTGAAGGATGTACTGTAGCGCCCGAATCAGGATTCGGATGCGGGTCTCTTCCGCTTCTGCGGCTGCGGCCACGCTGCTCCGACAAATCGATCTCGAGCCCGAGCACGATGGCGTTCACCATGATGGCGATGCCAATGACCTGAAATCGAGCGAATGAGGCACTGGGCTTGTTGATACGAAGGTTGTGAAGCATGGAGACCTCCAAGCAGTGTAACAGAGAAGTCGGAAAATGGGTGCCGCGCGAGGTCGAAGCTTGGCTTCTCGACGAAAGTGCCTGGGGCCGTGCGTCCACCCTTCTGTTCACACTTGACGAGCGTCGTGACTCAGCAGGGTTCTACCCCAAGCCAGGCTATTCTGAACCCATGGTTACTCAACCCTCTAAAAACCACGCAAAAACCCGAGTAAGCCCGCTGAACAGCTTCAATCCTCCGCCCATGACTCCGAAAGCGAGCATCTAAGTCCCTCAAGCTCCCCAAAAGCCTATGAGACCCCAATGAGCGACTAATCTCATCCTCATAGCGACACCTGCAACCCCACTCTGAGGCCCCTCGGGCTGAGCTCGCAGCCGCCGCTTGAGAGGTCCAAGTCCTGGCCCACTCCTTCCTGACACGTCGGGAGTCATTGGGGGGGGCTTTTGGTCATGGCCGTGCCAACTCCAACTCCGGAGCAGGACAAGTACCCCTTTAGGGGCGGGACTGCAGTGCGCTTTGCCTTATCCTACATACCCTAGATCCTAAACCCCTTTTTGCATCCAGGCCTCTGATCCGCGATCCTAATCCCTAAACCCTCTGAACCTCCCGCATTCCGGAGCACAGCAGGGCTTGGGATGGGGTGCTCCGTGGCCGGGAGAACGTGGGCTGCACGCTGCCGAGTGGGCAAAGCCAGAGCGACTGCAAAAGGCTTGCCACTTTGTAAGACAAGATACGTACATGTCTATATATATATACATACACATATGTACATATGTTCAGATGCTTGTTATGATTTCTTGTACGTAAGATTGTAAAAATAGATAGATGACTTATGGCATAACAAAGGTACCTGTAGTATCATCAGCTGTGCCTTGCGCAGCACTTCCTCGAAATCGCCATCGTCCACACCGGCTTTATGGATACTGAGTTGCCCGGGCGCTTCACAAAAAGGAGTCACGGATTTAAGATGCATCCGAGCATTGATCTTCGGACATTGGAATCGACTTAAACACTGTGCCGCCTGTGTCGGATAAGCAAACCCCGCATGAACCAGAGTGGAGAGCAATGCAACCCTTCGCGCGCATACCAAGGCTTGCAGACAAGTTACGTCGAACCACCTGCCGCAAGTTGCACAGCAGGGCTGAACAACATGAACATGGTACGTTAAGATTCTCGTCACTTCTTCATGATATTTAAAATGCGTCGGTCGAAAGCCAGTTCAGCCACGCGCCCGCGCACATGTTACAAACAAGCAACTCCCGGCCCCGAAAGTCCCTCAGAAAACTCTACGCCCTGTCTACACCCTAAGCCCCAGCTCGGCCCTCTCCTAAATAAGATTCTCTTAAGCACAATACAACCGGAAAATGTGAAGTATCCAAAAAGCCTCCCTAGCCATGTTGGAGGAGCCTCTTTCTCGCAGGATTCGCATCCTGAGTACATCGTTCTCCTCCATCCTTGGCAGGAGTCAGCTTGCTACATTGGCCAGCGCAAGACTGGACAAGCACATGACGCTTCTTCGGCAGCTGTGGGGAAGTCATCCCTCTCCACAACTGACTTAGTTGTCCAGTAACCTGGGGGAATTTAAGGTTCCCCTTTGAGATGTTATAGGGATTCTAATGCCCCCAAAAGGTTAAAGGTTACCTTTAAATTTTAAACAGGGATTCCAATGCCCCCAAAAGGTTGAAGGTTACCTACCCTACCTGCTAAGCTGAGCCCCTCGCGTATCCAGCTCGCTCTTCTTCTTGCCGCCGCCGCTGGCCGGCCGGGATCTCGAACTGGGCCTCGCCACCGGCATCTCCCGCCAAGGAAATGGGAGAACCTCACGCTGCTTGGAGGTTCATGGGTAGTAGAGGTAGGGTAGAGTAGGGCTACAAGTAGGGTAACTGCAATAACCAACCTTAGGGCAGTTCTAACCCTGCGTAGTATAACTAGCCATTGAACCTGGAACCTTCACGTAGTTCAGGGCAGAAAGAACCGTGTCGTGGCCCGGCACTTGTCCAACGCTGGCGCTTGTCCGTTCCCTGTCTGAGCGGCGGGAGCTTGGTACAGTATCAGCATCAGGTGCGGCCACGTATGTATACCATCTGCATATCGATTACCAGAACCCGCGCTCATGAACATGAACCTTGGACCTTTGTTGCCATGTTAATGCGCTATCATTCGGCTAAATTGATTTGCACAGTTCGAGGTTTCTGACGTGGAGACATGCAGCAGGCTACTGAACTACCTGTGTGTCGTCTCGCTTGCACTGTAGACCGTGTAGACTCTGCTACTGATGCCACTAGCTCCAAGAGCCCCACTCACTACTCCACGGTTCATACCAACCATTTTTTAGCCTGAAGTCAACTCCGGTCTTGCAAGGCATCTCTGTGAATCTGGTCCAAGCATGGCCAACACGGCACGTGTCTTGTTTGCATATGCGTATGCCGGGAGCGCCAAGCCTCTCTAGGATGATTGGCGACGATGTGTGTGCCCGGTTCAAGCAATCATGGAGACAGCAACAATGCAGTTTCTTGGGACAATGAGTCAGATGCATGCGTGCACCACATTGGTGCAGAGGTCTCGGAACAGAAGATCGCGCATCTGCTGATGTAACTGCGAGCCTTGTGGCTTTTGGTGGGCTGTGCTGTGGGCAGCTGCTTCAGAAAGCGCTACCATGCGAACTCCATTGCTTTTCAAGCTGGCACTGAAGCTACGGGGCCAAGAGGTCTTGAACCAGGTGTTCAGCAATCAGCCAGATGATAAGAACAATGTTCACGGCAAGCTGCAGGCACAAACTTGTACGGGGCAATGAGTGGACAAGCCGGCACAAGGATCAGAGGCGGATCAGTAGTTTCCGGTTCAGTTCTACTCCACCATTTTGGGCCGTGCCTGCCATTTAGCTCGACGTGTCTTGCCTGGAGCAGTTCGGGTCAGCGCTTGGTGGGCTTGAAAGGTTTGCGGTTCGGGAGCTACCTCACCAAGAGGTGCACGCGACCTAGTAGCAGGCCCAGGCATCTGCAAAGGTTCTACCACTGTGGCCTCCTCGCCTTCGTAGAAGGCAGAATTCCTTAGTACAGCATGTTCTGGCCACACACGCGGGAATCCCAAGACATGGCGCAGCTCATGAACAAAGCGGATTCTGGGCTGATGTGGCGGCTGGAACGCCGGGCATCCCTCCGAATGGAAACTTAGAAGGACTGCAAAAGCGGGCTGTCCATGTTTTTCCTCCGCTGGAGTGGAACTGATCGTCTCCAAGCCCTCTTCACTACTCGTTTCGTCGATGAGGACGCGAAACTTGTAGCAGCCTCGATGGGTTCAGGCACTCGTCAGCTGCTCATGCCCATCTCATCCTCTGAATTCCATTACGTTAAGGCACCGTTGCAACCACGAAGAATATCCGTGATGGAGCTGTAGCTCCGCCCACCCGTGTCGCCGTGTGCCTGCAAGACTATGTCCAACCTCAGCTAGCAAAAACATTGTCAGTAGGTGCACGATGCAATGTGCAGTGGTCGTGCAGTGGTCGTGTGCTCGAATCAAGCCGTCAAGCCGCATGTCGGTCACCATTGTTGGGATGATCGCCTCGGTACTTGCAATGCTTTCGGCCATAAAGGCTAACATCTCCAGAGAACTCTTTGTGAGCAGGTGTCCGTCTTTGCCCCAGGATCGATGACCCAGGATGGATCTCTGTTCGCCTCCAGGAAAATCACCGTGCCATCTGCCTTGCGCCATGCTGCACGCGGGGCTAGGGGACGAACCATGGGCGAGGTTGAGCAGGAGTCTATGGGGACAAAATGCTAAAGGAACTCTGTCCCCATAGTGGCATCTACCAGAGCCCATCAAGTCATGCAAGTGCGTGAAGGTCTCAGCTGGGCCTTACAGACGAAGTCCAAGCCCAGGATCTCAAACATGCCCAGCCGGCCCTCATCTCCTGATCACGAAAGATGTGGCAATGTGGTAGGGAGACTTCACTCTAAACCTCAATTCTCTCCGCGAGCAATTATCTTCCCACAGATCTCGAAGAGGCCGGGGAACTTCCTACCACATTGCCCCTAAACCCTAAACCCTAAACCCTAAACCCTAAATCCTAAACCCTAAACCCTACAACTTACACACAGGCAAGGCCAGCGCGAGCCAAGTTGCGGAGCGAGTCGTGGAAAGTCTCCACCACCTCTTCAAGCGGCTTGGGCACTTCGGGGTGTAGGGTTTGGGTTTAGGGTTTAGGTTTAGGCTTTAGGGTTTAGGGTGTAGGGTTTAGGGTTTAGGGTTTGGGGTTTAGGGTTTAGGATTTAGGTTTCTTGTAGGGCGAAGCTGAACAGTGCTTCGCACACGTCTTCTGCTTGCACTGCCTGGAGGCACGTCTGCCTCACCTGTGTCCAGAATGCCTCCATCCAGTCCTTCGCCGATCCTTCAGGAGGATTGTTGCATAATTGTTGCAGAGTGTTGCCTCCCTCGAAGGCATGCTGACTTGCCGTGTGTACTTTGTTGGCTTCATGACAACTTGGAACTTCGGACAATGGACCCGCCAGTTCCACGTGCGTTAGCGAGCTGTTGCACACTTCTCGTTGTGTTGGTTTCATGTCTTGCCGCCCTGTGGACATGCTTCCTCCCAGCCTTATGCCATTCCAGCAGAGCGGCCACATTGCAACACTCGAGGTGAGCCGAACTTCAGGCTGTGCAAAGGTCAGAGACAGAAAGTGAGAAAGTGCTACAACGCCAGGGACCAGGAATGGGTGGTCCCATGTGCTGCCAGACCGCTTAGGAGTGTTCAGCCTCTCTGCAATGTCTTTATTACAGTAAACTCCAGAAAGTTGGAACATGGTTTAAGGATCACTAGAGCTGGGATTCCCTTTAGTTTTCCTTTCGGGGTATGGGTTCGAGTTTGCTGCTCTTTGGCATGGCCCCAATGAGACTGCGCGGTGCCCTGTCCTGAGGCTTCATCTGCAAGTTCATGCGCCAACTCTTCCAGCAACATGACGGGGTGGACCTGTCAGGGTTTAGGGTTTAGGGTTTAGGGTTTAGGGTTTAGGGTTTAGGGTTTAGGGTTTAGGGTTTAGGGTTTAGGGTTTAGGGGGCACCTGCTCCCGTGCAGTTGCCGAGTTTCTTCTTGATCGGCGGCGTTCCGGGCCTTCCAGTCGTCATGCACTTGACCACCCATCTTCTGGAACTCTTGCTCGGTGACCTCGCGTTACTGGCCGTCGTCTATAGCAACAGCTGCACTCTGATGATCTTTTACCCTAAACCCTAAACCCTAAACCCTAAACCCCAGAGCCCTCCCAGGATGGAAGTCACCCAAGGAAGCCCACTGAACTGAATCCTCCAGCTGCTCGCATCTGCTGGCGCTGATGTCATAGGGTTTAGGGTTTAGGGTTTAGGGTTTAGGGTTTAGGGTTTAGGGTTTAGGGGTACAATCACAAGAGCCTTGGGATGCCCTGAACTCATTTGGGGGGCTTACGATCATCGGGGGTACCTTATTGGGGGTCCTTATTACAAGGGGATCCTACTATTTGGGGGGGTATATTTAGGGGAAACCGGAAACCCTAAACCCTAAACCCTAAACCCTAAGCCCTAAACCCTAACTCCCCCATTCTTGGCGAGGCGCATGCCTGAGGAGATCGGCCTCGTGAACTAGGGCTTCGGCAGCTTCAAGTGGAAGGGTGTACTCGGAGGTAGTTATAAGTGAGGTTATAAGTACCCTAAGTAAGGTTATAAGTATAGTTACCCTACTTATAACCCTGGGGTTATAAGTACCCCAAGTAAGGCTATACGTATAGTTACCCTACTTATAACCCTAATTATAAGTACCCATGAACCTCCAAGTAAGGGGTGTTTCAGGTTTGGTGTCTTCTTTGAATTATCGGAAAGGGCTGCTCTTGTGCCGGTTCTTGGGTGTTTCGGAAGAAGAATGCACGGGGCTGATGACCTGGTCTCAACTTGGCTACACTCAGAAGGGTAGCTAAAAATTAAACTTTTGGCTGCCTTATTAAGAAACCCAATAAACCCAAAAGGGCTAAAGATGTAAAGTTACAGTAAAGCACCACAAAGTCAAAGGGCATGTCTGATTCAACGAACTTCCTTCCTAGACTCGGCCTCCCAAACTCCCACACGCTCTTCCGAGCCTTGGGCCTGCTTCTTTTAGGGTTTATGGTTTAGGGTTTAGGGTTTAGGGGCTTAGGGCTTAGGGCTTAGGGCTTAGGGTTTAGGGCTTAGGGCTTAGGGCTTAGGGCTTAGGGCTTAGGGTTTAGGGTTTAGGGTTTAGGGGCTCTCTGGCCATTTCACGCCTGAATTTCTGACACGTGGAACTCGGAGCCTGCTAGCTTATTCACATGACCAAAGGTGCGATGCTTAAAGCACGTACGTTAATTCAAGAATCTCGATGGCCCAAGCTGTCTGGAAAGCTGCAACATGAGACCGGAAGGTCGCAAAGAGTTCCAGAAGCAAGCGCACCAAGATTGCCCCTTTGAGAAGGGCCCCCTAACTACAGTAAACGGTTGTCCCCCTGTTGCGGCCGGCCATGGCCAGCCCCAGCATCACGCATGCCTAGTTAGCTTCATTGGATGAGATCACCTAGCCATGCATCTCATCCCTCTGCACGCGGGTACGGAGAAAGATCGAACGCTCAAGCATGAACACATGTCTAAAAATCCTGCAACTGTCCGACATGACCGGCACCTGCGAGAAGTGCTCCGAGTCGAACTCCTGGGTTGCAGGGTTAGGGTCAGGGTGTTTTTTTTGCCACCGCAAGCGCCGCCGCGGTATGCCAAATAGAACGACAGAGTCATGTCCCGGCCAGGGTTTGGAGTTTAGGGTTTAGGCTTTAGGGTTAAGGGATATACAAGGGCTGAGGATGGGGTTTTTCAGCAGCCCGGCCACGCTGCAGAGCAACATATCGCGACTAGTGACCATCATTTAAAATCATTAAATTAAAGATGCCAGGCACCATGCTGGCGAACACCGGGCACTCCCAATACCGAAAGCAAGGACAAGCAGGCTTGAGCTTCTGCCATCGAATCACTAGTACTCATGACTGGCTAGAGGGGGGAAAGCTCTTCGGCATGCCCAGCGCGTTCATTCCGCAAAAGCATCGAAGCCGGCTACGAGCCTGCGTGAAGTCTGCATGCATGCGTGCCTAAACCCTAAACCCTTTTTGCATCCGGGCTTGGGGAGTCGGCCGGGAATAAAGGCAGGGGAAGCATGTTCCACACACTTCCTTCTAAGCAGCATGCTTAGGTCCACTACAGGTCTCTGCCTATATACTGCTATGCCACCATCATCAGTTGACTGTAGGCGACGCGCTCTTTCAGCACGCCGCCTCTGCTTCAAAGCTAGTCTTTCAATCCTATGCATCTCCCTGAGTCTCTCCAAGTGCGCATGCGGGTGAAAGTCTTCCTGATGCTCAACATCCCCGGCATACTTCGCGAAAGGAGGCGCAGCATCTGTGGTTTGCGCGTTTGTTGATGGTGCCGACATCACATCACCGAGTGAAGAGCAAGAAGAGGCTTTCGAGATGTCGCGCGGCTTTGTATCCTGCTCTTCCACTCGAGCCAGGCGTTCATGCAAAGCACTGAGAGATTCCATCTGCACCGACACCTGCTGCAGGACGCTCTGGACAAGTTCCTCACATACACCCCTGCTGACTACCTCAATGTCTGTTTGCGTATGCATTTCTCGTTTCACTGTGGAAGAGTTGACTGTGGCACCACAGCCATGCCCTGTACATCCAGGCTCAAACAGCAATGATTCAGCGAGGAGTATAGTGATCCTTTGACTTTTGTTTCCGCTGTCAGACGAACGAACCGAGTCTTCCTGCGTCAAGTCTGTTGCGAGACTATGCAAGGCAGCCTGAAGATGAAAGCAAACATCTGATGAGAGCTTGAATCTTTTGGCCCATCTCACAGCGAAGCCAATGCAGGATGACAGTTTTCTTTCTGGGGACACCATGGCACAATATTCAATGCGTGCAACAACATGCAATACCCGTTTGGGGCCTCGTAGCCAAGAAGCTTGAGCCAAAATGGCCTAAACCCTAAAACCCTAAACCCTAAACCCTAACCTAAACCCCAAACCCTAAAACCCATAAACCCTAAACCCTAAACACGTGTGCGGGCCAGTCCTGGCCACATACCTTGGCGTATGCAGCACCGTGGAGCAGCACCAGCAGCGGCTGAACCCGAGCAATCAGCCTTAATCATTTAGGGTTTAGGGTTTAGGGTTAGGGTTTAGGGTTTGACTTCGGACTCCCGGAAGTATGGAGAGTAGTGCCTATTTCGTAGTGTGGCTACATCTCCATCTCATCCATGTTCAAGACAGGAGGCGTCGGACTTGAGTGGTGTGAAGTGTCGGCCAAACATGCTCTTTCTGCAAGCCCAGGTCTTCAGAATGACTTAGCAGCCTTTCTCTCTCACATCAGTTGCATCGGCTGTGCTTTTTGCTATTTACATTTGACGTGCATACTAACAAAAGCGACTTAAGCCGCGCCGACTCGAAAGGCCAAGTTGCAGGTAAGCCCTGATTGCAAACCTCGGATGGAATACAACGAGTTAAGGCTTATGGTAAAACGCAACCATTCAATGTCAATCACATTCAGCCAAACCCCCGACTGCCTGCACAACGAAATTCGAGCTGCTTGTGGCCTTTTAAGAGCTGCAGATCCGGGACATATTCCTGACAGCAGGCACAACAGACCGGGTCACACAGTTGCCGCGGATGTGCCATTCAAAGCCGACTCGGCGCATGTCAGGTCAGTCCTGAATGATGCCGGTAGGTGCGAAGTAGCCTCAGCAGAGCCGAACGACTTTCGCCGGCGACCACACAGGAATGCCTTCATTTCCCAGCAGCGCACTTCCAGCGGCGACGCATGCCTCACATCATGCATCCGGCTGAGCAGAGCTGAGCGCAATGAGGTTGCAAAGTGACATCCACAGGATAGCGCTTGACGGGGCGGCAAAATTCTTGGCTTCTCAAATGCCTCCCACTGAGGACTCAAATTCTACCGACCAGGGACACGACCCCCTTACCTATGAGGCAGCGTGAGGCCGTCATGGAAACAGAAGTCCAGCCCAAACGGGGGGTGCCTTGGGTCTACAAGCCCTGGCATGCCCTATAAGGCTATCAGGCTACTGACTGTGTGCTTTGTGTACTCTGACAGGGCCAGGATGCAAATCTTCTGGTCGCGGTGGCCGGCATCGCTCCTTGAACGGACGCTCGGGTGAGTCGACGTCCTGCACGCCCGAGACCAGGATGATGCCAGCACCGCGCGCACCACCTTGGCTGGCAGAGCTCCGCCAGGTTTAGGGTTTGGGGTTTAGCGTTTAGGGTATAGGGTTTAGGGTTTAGGGTGCTTCGTGCCGAGATGGTCGGAACAGAAGTGGCACGAACGTCTTGGAGCTGAAGCGCAACATGCCACGGTTCAGCATCAAACCTGCTGCATCGCTATAGCTAGCAGGCCATATATGCCCAGGCACCATTTGGCTTGTAGATCCACCTCTTGCTCGGATGCTTCGCAACGTGCCTGCAGGGAATGTGGGGAGGTTGGGATGCCCAGCCCTTAACTTGCCCTAAACCATCCTTTTATCGCATCACAAGCCCTAAACAGCGGGATCTTCAAGCGCCGCTTAGCGGCTCCTTCCATTCCTCCAAGCTGCCAGGCAGCTCGAAGGTAAGGGGGTACCAGGACGGAGGGAACTCCTGCCCTTTCTGGGAGCACCACTTCTGCCTGACAGGTCGATGACAGGTTGAGCCCTGCTGGGTTGGGCCGGCTTGCGACAGTACGCCTAAACCTCACAGAGGCCAAGGGTTTTTCCCTAGGTTGTTAGGTTGTTTTGGAATAGGCTTTTGGAAGCGCTGTGGCCCGAACGCAAACAAGGCGAGCGGCACTGCCCGCAGCATGCCCACTTTCCGGGTGATTGGCAGCGCCGGCGCCACACGGTTCACGAGCCCCCCGCGCGACAGAGTCGGCGCCGGATCAATGCTGGGCCGAGATCCCTCCCACCTATACTCCCCTTAGAACCTCAATAAAAATGATAGTTTTGATATCCTCTTGGGTGTATATAAACAAAAAATAAAAAAACAATTCCCAAGGGTGATATAGCCACACGAAGATCGGCGTGTTGCCAGGTTCTGGACGCACAGTGCAGGCCCAGTTCTGCTTCCGGAGACGTGGGGAAACCAAATCGACGATGGTTTGGGGACACTCTGGCGAGATGTAGTAGAACAGCTTCAGCTTGGGCTTCACATAGCCAGAGCTAGCCTTGGCGTGGCTCGAAAGGTGACACAAATCGACTTCTGAGCCCTCTCTATGAGAAGTAGGCGCGTAAGGACTTCCTGTGGCTTTCCAGACTCGCACTACAACGCCGGGACACCATATACATCTCCATATCCGCTGCTGTCCAGCAGAAAAGTGCCTCTGGTGGCAGACCCAATCCGGGCACCATGTGCGCAGCTGTGGCTGGATGTCCCCTCCTTACTTCAGTGGGATGTTACTTGGAGGTTCATGGGTAGTTCTAAGTAGGGTTGATTATAAGCACCTTAAGCTAGGGTTTAAGTATAGTTGCCCTGCCAATAACCCCACTTCCAACTACCCATGAACCAAGTGTAGAGGCACCGACAGACAACCCAAACGGCCTACAGCAGATACGGAAAAACCTTCAGAGTCACATGGTTTAGGGTTTAGGGTTTAGGCTAACCATTCTTCATGACCCCCAAAGACTTCATGGTCTACTGCATTCCATATCGAAGTAGGGGGGCGTGGGGCACACTGAGTTCAGCCTTTCAGCCAAGTATCATCCGTTCCTCAGACCCTGCAGGCAGCCAGGACGATCTCTGCTCCGCAGGAAAGCTGCCGCCGGGCAGATCCTGAGCTCATCAGCGGGCAGAGATTCTCTCTGCCAATTTTTTGGGTGCCTGTTGTTTGGTTCCTATCAGAAGGAGAATAGCATCATAAGGGGGCGCCCCTTTTTAGATAGTTGCGGAAAGCCCCTTATTTTAGGGTTTAGGTCTAGGTTCTACAGGGCTGGCATCTTAGCGTATGTGGACCTCACCTTAGACTTGGGAGTCCCCGCACGACTCCCACACCCCACTGCAAGCGCAGCATCCTCCACATCGGCTTCCTCTCGCGCAGCCGCCGTGCGCTCCGAGTCAGAGCTTGCACGCTGCCCTGCGTAGCCAGAAGAGAGCGAATGCACCCGGCGGCTGAAAGCCATTGCTGCATCGGCATGTCGTTTGCAAGCTCTTCACTATTCAAGCAGTCCCAGTCAGGCAACCTTCCAAAACCATACTGCTGAGCACTGCCCGGCACAAGGATTCTATGATCGCGGATACCTGCGCGTACCAGTTCAACAAGTCCTATAAACGTGAAAAAGCTTTCGCACGTGATCGGGGTGGGGGCAAGCGAGCACGAAAACGCAGGTGCACGAAAACGCAGGTGGAGAAGCTTCTCAGGTACGTCAAAGCAGGCGTCGCATCTCTGTTCTGTCGTTTTCCATCTCGGGTGTATGGCTCCGGCTGTCATCCGGCAGTGGCCAGAAGCTCCGGAGCTTGCGGCTTTCGCAGCACAAAGCCTCTGCCAGACGCAGATGCTTCAGGGCCGATGCAAGTGTCTGCTGGGCCTTAGCGCAGGAGGAGGCCATGGACCGGAACCTACACCGGCCGTGATTAGGCCCTATTCGTGGATGTTCAACCCTGTGCAGTTTAAGTGGCCACTGACATCACAACACTGACTGCTCCAAGCCTATAACCTTACTCCTGATGCCCACACCAGCCATGTGGCCGCCTGCGGATCTGTCAGCAAAGCTCTCTTCGTGTCTTGCAGTAGTTTCTTCACCTGGCGACACGACTGCCTACGGCAAAGATCATGAAAAAGCCTGTGCACCACTTCTCAAAACAGTTTATGCACGCCGAGATCACCTCATCCAGAAGGTTGGCGGGTGCAGCTTGTGCAGTTTCTCCTTGCTCCAGGGGTGGTTTTGGACCACAGTGACCACAGCAGCTCCGGATCAACTCCACCTGCCGCTTCATCATGCCCGCCCGGTGCTTTGCCAGCAGCACGGATTTCACAGCAGGGAGGCCACCAGGAAGATGCTGCAGAAGAGCAGAGGGATGGACCTCATGGATGTCGGTTTCCGTCGAGCTCTGGCCCGAAGAGATCTGCGCCTGACGACGGCTCGGCATCGCCGGTAGCTCTGCAGCTCTGGCAGCCGCGGCGGCAGCTGGGACACATTTGCCGGCCTCTTCAAGGAGGCGGGCCAGCCACTTGTCCAAGGCAATGTACAGGAACAGCTCGGACATCTCTCCCACCGCTTGCCGGTCAGAGTTTCCATCTTCGTGAAGGCCCGCACCGGGCGGCCACAGCTGATTGGACCTGAAGAAGTCTGAAGGCGAAGGAAGTACCTGGCAGTTAACCCTCGCCACTTGCCCAGGGTTGAATCGGCTAGGTGCCCTAAAGCTAAACCCCTAAAACCCTTAAAACCTAAAACCCTAAACACAGCATCAAACCCCTAAAATCTCCACGGCACCTCGTCAGCAGCAAACCTCACCAAACTTGCCAACTCGGCTGCTGCCTGAAAACGGCGCTGCGTCTGACACGCGCCATTCGAGCGCCTGCTTGGAACATTGCACCAAGGCCTACTGTTTTCCACGGTTGGCTAAGGGGTTTCATAAGGCTTCTACTGTCTATGGGCTCAAAATCTTTTCGGGCTTAGAATAGACTAGACTGTCTCAGGGTTGCTTTTTTGTGCCTCATCAACATCAGCAGATATTTGTACGACTTGCTTCTTCCTGCTCATCCCATGCATCTTTTCAGCCATGTGACCAAGTGGCAGCAGGGGACCCTTCGCCGGCCCTACTCGTGATATATAAGAAAGGTGGCAACAATGTCGAGCAGCCTCGACAACGCATGGAGCTGTTCCGTCCACGCCGTCCGCGCGCTGTCTGCAGCCTCGACAGATTGCAGCTGACATGTTCTGACATCTGGGTGTGTGCGTGCGCCATGTCTCCGTTCAGCTTAAGACTCAAAACCCACACCAACTAGTGAGAGTGGACAAAGAGGCCCGTGCAGTGCTAACGCAACAGCCACTCCAGGGATTGAGAGAGGGAAGGTCAACCTTCTAAAAAAAACTGACACTCATTCCTTCTGCCGGGCACAGGTTCAGCATACACAGCACCATCTGGGGGAGTAGCCCCTGGGTTCATGTTCAATGGCAGCCTTGGCAAGCAAAACCTAGGGCGCAAAAGCAGCTACCGTGCTTTCGGCGAGCCGCCTTGTCTTATGCGGCTGTGAAGAAGGGACGACTCAGGGCGTTTGCGCCAACCCCGGGAACTACTGTGTCGGGGACGTGTATGCTCTGCGAAGCAAGACAACTACAACGACCAGAACGAGTCCCGAGCGCCAGCGTATTAAAGGCCAAAAAGACTTGAGTTGAGGGGGCAGGCTCATACATCAGAACCCGTGAAAGAGGGTAAGGGACCATAGAACTACCCTAAGAAACACATCGTGACATTCATGCAGCTGGTCAGGCTGGTAGCCACAACGAATCACAGCATGTTCGTTTCAGGCTTCCCGCCGTTTGGTGCCTCTGCTGGGGCAATCGTGCAGGGCAAAGGTGTGTACGTCTGACTACGTAAGTCTGTCCACACTGACACATTCACAGGATCTGGGCTCCAAGTGTAGTGGTGGAGGTGCGCAAGCTGTATGCCCCAGTGGGTGCTCCCGTCAGCCCTTCCAATGTACGGACTCCCATCTGGGCGAGGCTCAGGATGACATCAACATGTGGATGTCCTTCAGTCGTTGGGCTGAAGACGAGCTGTCGCATGGCTCTTCTGGATGGGCTTGGCTTGCGCAGGTTGCACGCCCAGACGTCGGGTCTGTTGTTACAAAAGCGCTGGGACCGCACGTGCCTGAGGTTCAATGCTCGCTCGATCCTCTTCCTCACTTGGAGTTTAGCCCCTGTGCTTCAGGCAAGTTTGGGGTTTCATCTGAGCCGCTGAACGATGTTGAGCTTCAGATCTTGAGCTTTCTATCCAAGATGGGCTCTTGTAAAGCACACCGCTGGAGGCGCGCTACAGCGCTTGACCCTGCCCTGAACTGCGCCTGTTGAAGCGACGCCTCCTGCTGCTTCAGCTGCATGAACTTCACCTCAAGAGTTACTGAGCTTCGGCCGTTTCCTATCTCGGAACTTCTCGCAATGTCGGAAACAGTCAGCTCAGCACCCGGGACCCTGAATTTGAAGTCGCCTTGCTCTTACACTGAAACTGCTCCCTTCCAAGGCCCCACCCGGAGCTGGCGCCACTGAATCCAGCTCTCCACATCAAAGTCCAGCACTTCCTGCACGAATGGACTGGGATGCCCGCAAACTTCAAATCGTGGCCGTAAGGTAGATAGAGACAGCTGCACTCAGTAATGAGACATGATCGGCTGCAAGGGAACTTCTGTGATCGCGTTGGCTGTGGGTTCTTTCCGAATGCTGCCTTTCCAAGCAACAACTCTTATCCAGGTTGACTCCGACAGGCTTTATGCTTTCTGAGAGGCATGCCAGCACCCTGAACAACTGTCGCTGCACCACTCATTCGGAGCAGTTTCAAGTGCACGGCTCTTAAGGTTTCACTACGCAGGGTGTGTTGCATGTTCATTCTGATCCTTCAGTGCTCCAAGCAAAAGTCCTGCGGCTGCCCTGCAGGGCCTTGGACGGTCCTCCTGCGAAGCACACGCGGCGGCACTTGCTTGTAGGCGCTGGTACATGAAGCGGATTCTGATCAGGTTGCGCGCATGGCGGGTCAGCGGGTGCGGCCGAAGGCACATGGAACAACAGCCGCAACTACAGCAGCAGCTAGTACTTAGCAACAGACCCTAGAAACCTTAGAAACCCTAGAAACGCAACAGGCCCTAGAAACCCTAGAAACCCTAGAAACCCTAGAAACCCTAGAAACCCTAGAAACCCTAGAAACCCTAGATGTGAACTTCCTCGATGACTCCAGGAGCCGCTCCGCGTGGGCGCAGCTTCGTGCCAGGCCATCAGCTGTCGATGATACTGCCTTAACGGTTGGGGTCTTTAAGAGCCCTGCAGGGCTTCTCCGGTTCAATGAGGTTCGATGAGTTATTGAGCTTAGGGCTTGTGAGCCTGACAAAACTGAGCAGAGGCAATGGGCAAGCGCCCAACATGATTCAAGGGGTGAAGGGTTGCTGTGGCGAGATCGCACCCTCCATATCCCAAAGTTCCGCAGCTGCACAGTCGTTGCGGTCTTGGTGCATCCAACTCATCGCGCAGCAAGCTCTGCAGCTGCGCCAGGATCTGCTGGATTTCAGCCATGTGTCGCAGAAATGGCAGCGGGCCCCATTGCCCTTGCTGTACTTGCTTGAGCTACACCGTGTCATCAAAGGTTGCGTATCGCTGTTGCTGCGGTGTTGTTGCTGCATTCCTGTCGAACCCAAAACTGTCCTTGACTGCGTGGCCTTGACCAGGCAAGGGCAAGGGCCCTTACCTTCTAAACATTGAAGATTCGAAGTCGACCGTTGGGCCATACTGTTCCTTGGACCACATGTTTCTTCTTTGCAAGGGCAGTACGCCATTTTGAGCATGCTTGAGCCTGGCTGAACATGGAACCCTGCATCCGGAACTGAGGCGCGAAGTCTGGAAAAGCCGCGAAGATCCCGCAATCCTAAACTCCCGTTTCTTGCATCCGGCTTCTTTAGCTCGGAGGCCTTGAGAACCACAAACCTCCCATCTAAACCACTTCCCCCCCCCTATACCCTAAACATCCCTAAACATCCCTAAACATCCCTAAACCCTAAACCCTAAGCCCTTGGTTCCAGGGGCCCGGTCAGTGCCGCTGCAGCCTCTGGGCTTGGTGCCGCGAGGCCCACGGCAATGGACGGAAGGTCCTGGACAAATGAGAGGGGCTCTTCAGGGGATTAGGTGTGCTTAAAGCATTGTTGCGGCTTCGGGGTGTTTGCAGTATAGGGCTTGGGGTGGAGCTTCAGGGCTTTTGGGGTTGCATTGACTTGCTCATTGACTGACTTGTCACTACTTTAAACCCTCCCCAGCCAGAACGCAGACAACTTCTTGGAGCACTACCCGTCTCTTTCCCACTTTCCCAGGCTCAATCCCATGGCCCGTGATCCTCGGACTCGCCGCCTTCTTGACCTTGGCAGGACGTAGAGTTTGCAAAGCCGGCAAAGCCTGGCTCTGGATCTACGGGTAGACACGAAGTGTGCCACAAGCCACTGCGTGCACTTGAGTGCAAAAGCCCAAGCTTCCGGTGAACAGCACGTGATCGAGGCAACGACCACAGGTGCAACTCGAGCTTGGCAAACCAGCTACTAAAGCTAGATGCCTTTACACTTTACACTACAGGGTGGTTTCTGTGGGCAGATCTACTCGGAGATGAGATCAAAGCTCCAGCGAGCTGGGGGTTACCTGCAAGCGCAACAGCACTGTAACATCATGTAGCATAGGTCGCGAGCGATCTGACTCCCGATGGTTTGCTATGCAAAGAAATCTTTATAAGGCAGTGGGGCCGGGTCAGCGAGAGGGCCACGCAAGAAAGAGTTTAACACAGCTAGGAAGTACTCGGAAAGAACAACGAACAGGGCTGGCCCAGCATCTGTATGGGCTCATTTCTTCCAGGCAGGTCCTCGTCCCCAACAGCAACCTGCAGCCTCAACGCTTTGCGTGGATGCACGTAACTCGGGACCATGGGGATCAAGGCTCCTCTGCAAGCTGCTGGAGCTCTGCTGCGAATTGCAGCAGCTCCTGCATCTTGCCCCGCTCCTTCAGCAACCTCATGAAACTCATCCTCGCAGAGCCCAACGTCTTCTCATGGTGGACGCCATAGATCGCGAGCCAGCCGTCCAGCTCCTCGCGGAAAAGCTGCTCCGACTCGTCCCATTGGCCAGCCCTCTCGAGCAGCGAGGCCAAGGTGCAGATGCTGCTCAGAGTGTCCTATACTGAACTTAAGGAACCCTAGCAAAGATTATATTCTCCCTGCTTCTTGGGATTCTGGTACCCAAAAACTAAAGCTTACTTCCAAGTATCCCTAAGAAGCTGGGTGGGTGCTGCCAAGCCTGGCTCGGCGTACGTCCAGGGCCTCACGGTGCAACCTCTCCGCCTCCTCCAAGCATCCCTTAACCTCAAGCAACTCTGCAAGATCGTCGATGGTGGCGAGAGTGAGCTTGCGATGCTTGCCCAGCTTCGCCCGGAAGCCATCTAAGGCCTCGCGGTACAAGGGCTCAGCCTTTGCCAAGTGCCCCTGGGCCCTGAGCAGCACAGCCAAGTCTTTGACGCTTTTAAGAGCCACGAGGTGGTACCCAGCTTGGTCCGCCAGCCTTCCATGGCCTCACGGTACAACAGTTCGGCCTCATCCATCCTCCCTTGGGCCTTGAGCACCGCTGCCAAGAGGGCGATGCTGTTGAATGTAAAGTCATGATCACTTACCAGATTTTCCCGACAGGTCTTGACGGCCTCTCGATACAAGCGCTCGGCCTCATCCAAGCGTCCCTGAAGCTCTAGGAGTGCGGCCAGGTTGCCGCTGCTGATAAGGTCCGAGTGGCCGCCGCCCAGCTTTGCAAGGCGACTCTGCAAAGCCTCACGGAACAAGGGCTCGGCCTCGTCCAAACGCCCCTGAGCCTTGAGCACCTCTCCCAGATTGCTCATGCTGTTCGCAGTGCTGGGGTGGTCGTTGCCCAGCTTAGCTCTGCGAGCATCCAGCACCTCTTGGTACAAGTGTTTGGCATCGTCCAAGCACCGCTTGTCACAGAGCAGCCCGGCCAGATTGCTCATGCAGTTCCAAGTGCGAGGATGATCGTTGCCCAGCTTCGCTCGGCTGCCATCCAGGGCCTCCCGGTACAACGCCTCGGCCTCATCCTGGCGCTCCGTTGTCCTGAGAATTCCTGCCAGATTGTCGATCACGACGAAGGTGGTGGGGTGATCGCTGCCTAGCTTTGCTCGACATCCGTCCATGGCCTCGCGGTACAGGGCCTCGGCCTCATCAAAACGCTTCTGGTCATGGAGCAGCCCTGCCAGATTGCTGATGCTGATGAGAGTGCTGGGATGGTCGCTGCCCAGCCTTACCCGGCGGCCTTCCGCAGCTTCGCGGCGCAAAGGCTCAGCCTCATCCAAGCGCCCCTGCTCCTGGAGCACCCCTGCCAAATTGCTCAAGATACTAAGGGTATCCGGGTGGAGGCCTAGCTTTGCTCGATGGCCGTCCAGGGCATCGCGGTACAATTGTTCGGCCTCACCCCAGCGCCCGAGGTCACGCAGCACCCCTGCGAGATTGCTCATGGAGTGGCACGTGTCGATGTCATCGTTCCCCAGCTTTGCCCGACGGCACTCTAAGGACTCGCGGAACAAGGGCTCAGCCTCGTCAAAGCGCCCCAGCTCATGGAGCAGCCCTGCCAGAATTTCCATAGCGCTGGTTGTCGAGGCGCTGTCGCTAGCTAGCTTTTCTCGACTATAATTCAAAGCCTTGCGACACAAAGGCTCCGCCTCATCCAAGCGGCCTTGGTCCCTGATCACCTGCGCCAGATTCAACAGGCTTCTGTGAGTGTCGGGGTGATCCATCCCCAACACCGCCTGACGTCCTTCCAAGCACTCGCGGCTGAGACTCTCTGCACGTGCCAGCTGCTGGGCGCGGCCACGGAGCCTGCGTGCAAGCTCGAAAAATACAGTCCAGCGTGGCTTTGTCCATATTCCCCTTGGCTTCACGGAGGTGGGCCAGGCGCAGCCTCAGCAGCTCGAGGAGGCCATCTGCTTCTGCAGAGGCATGCTGAACTTCACCAGCTGAGTCCTGGATGCGGAGCACCCACACATCCCGGTCACGGTCGACGGCGCGGCCCTTGTAGTCCTCGCCCAGTGCGATGCGTCGCTCTTCGTTCGTCTTTCGATCTTGCACGATCTTCTGGGCCATGTCTGGCGTCTGTCGCTCGAAGATGTTATAGGCCATCGCCTTAGGAGCCAGCATTGGGATGCAGAAAGCAGCACGATGGCCTTGGGGGTTGGCATCGCCCCACTCTTGGAGGATGCGCTGAGACTCAGCATCCGTGTCGTCGCGGAGCGGGCTGCCATTGCTGTAGTTGTTCAGGAGCACGCGCAGACGCGAGCCCCAGACACAGGGCTCATACTGGGTGCCATAGATTCCCTTCCCGAAGTGCGCGCGCGAATCAACCAGCGAGGCAAACAGCTCGGCCGCTGTCTGAGCCAGGTTCCCCACGTTCTTGAAGGCCAGCTCATTAGTGTAGTGGTATATCACGATGAAGTCCTTGTCATCAATACTGGCATCCGTGAGGTCACGTAGGTCAAAGGCATAGCTCCAAGTCTGAATAGGCCCGTCTGAAGCTTCATACCTGAGTGTAGCAATCTCACCTATGGTGCGTGCAACATACGCGGTGCCCTCGTAGGGCTTTCCCTGGAGGTAAGGGCCAGCAAAGTACTGCGAAAGCTCACCGCGTGCCAGGGCCTCGGCAGCGGCCATGCTGGCGCCAGAACCCATCGCTCAGACGAAGCTGGGGAGGTTGCCCGGCATGGTTCAATGTAAGGGCTGCATATTGCTGCATAAATGCGGCGCAGCATCAGCGTCAAATGCGAATCGTTTGCGAGCCTGCCCCTAGATCAACCCAAAATTGTCAAGCTCCTGTGACATCAGCTTTGGGACTGCCGTGACAAGAGGCTTCTCGCTGAATAGGTTCTGAAAGGACTGATTTGACCGGATTCAAGTTTAGGGGTTTAGGCGTTTCGGCTGGGTTGTCGAAGGCAATTTTGAACTATCCACTGCACCCAGATCACCTATAAGCCTAAGGGCACTGCACTGCAGAGCGCCCTGCTTCGGCAGCTTACTGGCAGTTCGTCTGCGTGCCTTTTTCGATGTAGGAGTTTGGCCCAGTCACATGTAGTGCTCATTGGCTTCATGGCTTGCCATCATCGTTCCAGGACACATCTCTACATTTGGCGGGGCAAGCACATTGCTGCCTATGCCTTCGCGCAGTCTATGTCCAAAAGCTTGTCAGGCTGGCAGACGCCCCAAGGCGTCCATGTGCATGCGAGGATAGCTGTCTTGTTCGTTTCGGTGTTGTTCCTTCGGTGTCGGGAGCAGCACTGACACCCGTAGAACAACTTCACACACGGGACTCTTGCCAACATGGGAACCCTAACCCCTAAACCCTAAACCCTAAACCCTAAACCCTAAACCCTAAACCCTAAACCCTAAACCCTAACCCTAAAAGCCGAAAAGCAACCCATAAGCAACGGAACTAGACCTGCCAACCCTGCGGTCACAAGTATTGCAGGGAAGCCACCTCTCGATGTACAGCTTGGGGCACTCCTCCTGCCACGAAAAACCACGCAAGCAAACATCCGCAAAGCAACCGCCTAGACTATCCAAGATCTCCTTCAGGGTTTAGGGTGTAGGGTTTAGGGAGTTTAGGGTTTAGGCTTAAGCGGTTCTCATAGCAGCACAGGGCAGTTGTGAACCAACATGACTTCCGGGCTCTTTCTGCACAGGAGCAAGGGCCAAACAGCAGTTTCAGGTCCCGAAACCTCTAAAACTGCGGTCTCCCGGGCTCTGGCCTCTGTATTTTGAAGCGAAATTAGACGGGAGACCGCGATTCAGCAGTTTCAGGGAGTGCCGTCATCTGTCAAAACCTCGTCGCTGTTACAATGTTGTTTGTCATTGTTGTGGTAAATTGTTGTGGTTTCGAACGTGTCTCCCTACGCGTGATGCAGGACATCTTGAGGCGCAGCTGACAACACGGGTGAGTCTGCGTCCTCAGTCACTGAGTCGCCACAGCCATGGTTGCCCTCGATCTCGACCTTCGTCATCTTGCGCAGCTCTGGGCAGCGACTGTCCTCGCAGCAGAGCTCGTCGGAGCTTGCCACCACACCTGGGGCTTCCAATGGGTCTAGGAGTCATTAGGAGTCTAGAAGGGTTCGTCGCAAAGCTCGTTCACTGGCGGCCCGACAGGGAAGTTCAAGGACTAGGACATGTTCACTCCAGAAGCAGTTCAGTCAAAGTGCGCTGGCCATTTGGGATGTTGACGCCCGTGCCGCAAGAATGCAAAGCACAGGTCTCGGAGCAGCATTTCTCAGCAGTCTGGGCGACGGTTTTGTTCGTCGCGTGGTTTGGAGCATAATCTCCGACGCACTGGTCCTGGAACAGCGCGCAAGTCTTCGCGCAGCAGACTTCGTCGGCAACTCCTTGGACACAAGAACCCTCATGGCCAACCAGCATCAAGGGGAAAGCACATGCACGGCGCAGCTCCGGAGCCATGCCATCAAGGCGCCTATGTTGTGGGCAGCTGCTGGGTTTTTAGCCCAATCAGCAGGGCAGGTGTAGCGGCTGCAAGTCGGCTGGCAGCACTCCTGGTGCAAGTTCCCCAACTCCCCGAAGTTCCCCAACTCCCCTAAGTTCCCCAACTTCCCTATGGTACAGCTATGCTAATCCAGGCCCACCAATTAACTCCTCGTCGGTGGAACCCACGCGGTTGGCCTCTGACAGGCTGGGCAGAATGCTGTAAGAAGATGGAAGAACAACACAAGTGCCCTCGGGGTTTACGGCTAGGGCTTAAGGGGATGCAACGGCTTGATCCGGACGCTATGAAGCTGTCTTACGTTCATTTCGGTGACATTACTATTCTCCTGCCGTTACATGGTGTTGTGTGGCATTGTAACCGTTTCGTGTAACGCAGCCCTGAACCGCCTTGGTCTCATCATTGGCCCAGCCCGTGCCGCAGGAATGCGAGCTGCAAAGAGGCTCGCAGCATTCCTCGGGTTGCCAACTTTAGGACCTTTAGGGTTTAGGACCTTTATATAGGGCTTAGGGTTTAGGGTTTAGGACATAGAGGGCTTTAGGGACTAGAGGCAAACACGCACCCCACCGCAACGCTGATAATTAACAGCCCACGACACTCGAAAACCACAACACTTCCAACCCTGAAGCATCGATCCCAAGTGCTCCCAGATTGCAAAGAACTGAGTGGCAATAGAAGGGGCGGAAAGTTGTAGTTACTTCAACCTCATGATCAAAACGCCATTCAACATTGTCATCCTTATCAGCACCATCAGATACGAGCCTGAGGGTTTTATGCACATGCCCTGACTGCCACAGCGAGCCACCAAAAGTAGCTTTCGGCAGCATTGCCGACTTCCTGAAACTTCCTTTGCCTACCCACCGTCCAACCTGTGGCCAAGGGGCAACCTCCCTGGCATCCTTGTTGGCATTTTCAGGACGTGTCCTTGGAGTTAAGGTTGCGGTACTAGGACGCAGGAACCACTACCGGAGCACCATGGAGCACCTGAACCTAGAAATAGTTTGCTCGCTGAGGATCTTGAAACCTGGACGGCACGTGGTCTGTGAGCAGGTTGCAGTACAGCACGCTGCATCGCTCACACCCCTTGCTGACTTCTTAGCCTCAGGGCTGGCACGCAACCATCAGTGTTTCGGATCCGTGACCAACTGCAGCAACTATGCCATACCTTTGGAGCTTATATCTGAGGGCCAGGCAGGATCTAGCGTCAAGCCCTTGCGGTAATCGCACGTGTAGGCTTGGCACGTTGGCTCACAGCAGAAGCTCTGCTCTTCACCATCAGGATATACAGAACGTTTGTTCGCCCTGGAGAGGTGGCTAGAGTGTGAACATTGAGCAGAGCATAGGGTCGCAATCAAAGGAAAATGCACATCCAAGCAAGGGAAGCAAACATCGGAGGTCCCGATGGGCACGTGGAAGGGCTCGCACACAACGGCCGCGCAGGTGTCTTTGCAGCACTCCTGCTAGAGCAGGCATGTGTGGCTAAAATTGGCATGAAGCCGTGCCAAAACGTCAAGGCAAGACAAGTGCCACCTTGCGCAGAGCACTGCAACCAACAAACCTTGAGGCTTGAGCTTGTGCCATCTTCAATCCTCATCTAGATCAGTCCTCGGGCGACATGCCAGCGGTATCCTTGAGGTCCAAGGGCACCTGTCACATGTTCAGGTGGTTCCACAAGAGCCTTACTACAGTTACTACCGTGGGGGGGGTCAAGCAGATGTCAGGAGGGCGGCTGGAGCTTTAAGCACATATCTATAGGTATGTTCAGCTTGCGACCTAAAGCTGCTAGACCGCACCGACTGAGGGTCTTGTGTGCTATGGCCGAACTCAACTCCATCATGTTTGGGGAACGCCGGCCTTCTGGGCCTTGGGACACTTCAACGCCGCGCAGGTCTTGTCGCAGCACTGCTCATTACTATTTCCAATGTTGCCCTTGTAGGCATCGTTGGCGACCTTGCTCGCAGTGATTTTCATAGCGGCACACTAGGGCAGCTGAGCTTGACAAGAGCAGGTGGACTAAGTGTCGCGCGTAGTGCCCCGTGCACGACCACATTTCACAGGTCGGCTGGCAGCACTCGCTGTCAGAGCTACCCTTCATCTCATGGTGGTTGAGCTTCGGGACATAGCCCTTGCCACAGGTATACGAGAAACCTGAGGAGCAAGTTGCTGCGCATGCTCTGCTCTCCCTTGCCAAGACTCTCAGAGCACAGCATGCGCGCTTGATGGCGAAATTTCAAGGAAAAGCTTTTACATGCAACCCTGCCAATTGACCCCGGAACCAGAATAGGGAGGGGGGGTAATCAGGGTGGAGTTGCCACAACGGTTGAATCATCTGTTTCTGCAAAGGAAACACAGCTCGAAATCTGAAAACATACCAATGGTCGCAACAACCGAAGTTCACACAACCACTTCAACATAAGCTTTGCAACAGTCGCCCGCGTCCAGATCCACTTCCACAAGGCTGGCGGGCACCTACAGGAGGGCGGAAGACAGAAGATAACACAAGCAGGCTCGCGCTGCAGCTGCCACCATTTAAGGCTTGGTGGGGATGTTGCAGCAACTAGTTGAACCTGTGGAACGTGTTTTGGCACCTGGGTTCCGTGTTCTGCGCAGACACTTGTGCGGAGCAGAAGGCAATGGCCTTGAGGGAAAGTCCCAGCTGCGATGCAAGCGCCACCGAGCTTGCGACAAGGACCTGAAAGAGCGACTGACGAGCTATGTTAAACCCCACAGGCTTGCAGCTTTCACCACCACGACCAGCACAATGATGGCAACGAGCAGTACTGCTCCTGCTTGGAGTACTCCTACGGCTGCCTCTACTCCTACCAGTCCGATGACGCTGGCTACGGAGAGCTACGGAGAGCTGCACGTTAAACAGCGCGGAGGCAGGCGACATCCAGCATCTCAACATGACTCGAGGATCTACTTGGAACGGCCCAGGTCAAGCATTTCCAAAGTTTCCGAGCTCAAGGCTTGCTTCATTGCCACTTGGAGTTCCGAAGGCTCGGCAGGAACTGACTCTCAGCCGTCCCCGCGCTCTTGAGCCAGCGAAGCTGCAGATGAAACCAGAATCCCAGAAGCCCGGTGCAAACACTGGCTTACAAGGGCGTACGTGAAGGTCATGGGAACTGTGCACGTCGAGTCGTTCTATTCGCACCTCAAGGAACAGCAGAAAGCGCATTTGAACTATCCCTAAACCCTCAACCCTAAACCCTTATGAGTCACCAAGCCCGATGCTTGAATCCAGCTAGGAAGCCACTCTCCGAGCAGGGCACGCTCGGGAAAAGAGAATGACAACTCAACAACAGCGGCGCTCTTACATCGTGCTGAGCCCCAACCCCTCCTTGCAAGAACCTACGAACTTTGAACCCTAAACCCTAAACCCTAAACCCTATGAACCCTAAACCCTATGAACCCTAAACCCTATGAACCCTAAACCCTATGAACCCTAAACCCTATGAACCCTACCTAGATGTGCGCATGAAACACCAGGAGCCTGGCAGACCAGTGCCATTCCGGAGACCTGGGAAGTGCTTCGAAGAAGACTTTCTTGTTGATTTGGGGGGCTTTCGGGGCTCTAGGGGTTTTGGGAGTTTTGGGGGAGTTTTTGGAGAGTTGTTGGGGAGTTTTTGGGGGAGTTTTGGGGGGTTGTTTGGGGGAGTTTTTGGGGAGTCTTTGGGGAAGTTTTGCTTTGCAACCTTTTCGGTGTGCGTAGTGAAGGCGGGGAGGGGCTTCAAGGGGGTAGATTCCAGGGCTTCGGAGTCTTGAAGGAGGACAAAGTCGACGAAGCCGGGGCCGTGGCATGGCGATTTCGCTCCACCACCTCCTGGCCAGGCATGAAGGCCCCAAAGCCCGAACAAGCACACGCTCAAACGAATGGCTTGCCACACTGGGTTCGGGTTTAGGGTTTACGGTTCAGGGTTTGAGGCTTTGTGCTTAGGGCTTAGGGTTTAGGGTTTAGGGTTTCAGAAGTTAAGCATGCAGGTAGCGATCCACCTGCAGCAGCGATGGCAGATCCTGGCAGGGCGCTCGTGGCTTCAAGACGCGTCTGGCAAGTACATGGCCATTGCATCTGGCAACACTAGAGAGTCACTACAGCGCCATGCCATCGAGTAGAACATGTAGAAGCGGAGCCTCCACAGCATCTCCCATGGGTGTCAGGGCACTGCTCCGGAAGCTGGGTGTTGCTTTGCCGCTTTGACTGGCCGCACTTAACACTTGCTGTGTGCGGGCATTGCGAGTTGTTGAATGGTGTGACACATGCCCCCCGTGAGATACTATTGTGTAGATATATTGTGTCGTTGCCGAAAGCTACCGAGCCAACGTAGCCTCTAACCTAATGATGTCCTTGCGCGTTGCTCTCGAAACCACCAACATCATTTCGGCTGCAGCACCCTCAGGCGCAGGAGAGACTCAATCTCAAGACTCAAGACGTCACTAAGACACCGGAAGACCTTTCTTTGACCGCCGTGATCACCACAACCGCACACCTGTACACGTGCAGGCGATGCTCTGGAGGGCTGCGCATCAAAGTCACATGGCCCAACAATGACAAGATGCATTCTCGGATGCGCAACTTACCCATCCTGACTTCTCGAGTTTGGAGAGCCATGTGACCTTGGCGGCCTTTCCTCTTGCGGCTTGCTGTGGATTGCCGGATGCCAGTTGGCACAGCTCAACTCATGTTGGCGAGCTTGTGCGGTTCTGCAGTTGCAAAGCCTGCAATCTAAAGCTCCAATTGGCATCCGCAAACGCCGCAGCTGACTCCAAGCTACACTGAGACCATGGGGAGCTACACACAAGCTGTTGAAAGTCTACGAGCTGTGCCTGATAGGTTGGGAAGCAAGGACTGGAAGACGCTTCTGTCGCCAAAGTTCTTGGTTGTCATGGCCGTCCAACTGCAAAGACAAGCTTACGTGCTGCAGAAACTGCGCTGGCATCCTTTGCAGCCAGCAGGAAGTCCTTGATGCGCTCACGCATATCGAAGCTAGCAAGGCTATGCGGGAGAGGCCAGCCTTTCCCGGTGAAACTGAAACGGACGCGCCCTAAGCCTGTCAAAGGAACTTTAATCCCCGGCACAGCTGCACCCACTCTGTCATGTCTGCAAGTAGCAGCAACACTCCACACAGATGCTAGAAGGCATAGACACCTTCTTCGGATTCGGTCACTACCGGGAGACGGGTGCGGATGCGTCATCTTTGATGACACGGTTACGAGCTAGCAGCTGCCGATGACACCTCGCAAGGCGGAGGTTAGGCTGGCAAAGAGACTTCAGCTTTGGCTTTGTTGAACACATCAAGCGTCCCGGGTAAAACCTCTGAAGGGGCTCGCAACCCTGAAGAACAGGGCTCTCGCTTTAGCAGGGGCAGCTGAAGCTACGCCCCAACCAGGAACATTGCGCCAATGCGCTGCGAAACTGCCACTGACGACTCTGAACAGAACAACACAGGCTGTACAGCGCTGCATGTAACAGGAGAGACGAGGAAGTTCCGACGGCGTATGCTTCCAACGGTTCTTCTGAGGATTCGGCGATGCGGAGTGAGACCAGCAAAGCTCCTCCTGACTCATCCACGAGGCTCCTGCATACACTCCGCCCCCCTCCCTTCACAAGCTCAGGCATGTGGGAGGACGGGAATTTCGAAGGTACTTGAACAGAAGAAAACGCCCGCGTCACCGACCGAAGCTTACAAAACCGCGTTCTAGTAGCTGTTGCCACCTTCGCAAGTAGTTTGCATCTTTCATTCCCACACTGGCAGCCTCGTGCTCGACATGTTTATGACGCTAGCTGCTCCTGTAGACTCAAGTTTCGAGATGATGCCATGGCCCTCCTCAAATCTGTCAAACATCCAAACATCCCAGCATCATACATCCTCAACCCCAAATCTGGTAAACCCTGAGCCCATCACAATCACCACTGCTCAGCAAGTCCCAGCCTGAAGTCCCACTCCTGCTGTGCTTCTGGAAGGCAGCAGCAGCTCTGCCTTGGCAACTGGCCAAGCAAAAGCCGCAACAGCGAAGGGTTTGGGAGGTTCTTTTATGCAGGACCCTATGACGCTCCGTGCAGTCTGCGAAGGAGCGCTAGACTGGGCCCGGATGACCCTAATGATCCCAGTGTCCGCAACAACCTCCACAACCCTTCCAGGCGCCCGCGCTCCCCGAAGTCATGAGCTTCCACCGAGCGAGGAGGCTGGAGACGAGACCCCCTTGGTCAGTCCACCCGGTCTATCGGTCTCTTCTTCTCAGCGGGCACTGTCTTGTTGAGAGATCGCAGAGGTTCTCTTCTTCTTGTGACTCTTCTTATTCTTCTTCTGCGAACTGTAGGGGCCTGATGGACCCTGGTCGCACTGGCCGGGAGGGATCTGTCCGGTGTGGGCGGACCCGTTCTGGGGTGCGTCGAGCAGTTGGTCGCCCTCGCGCCCACTCTTTTGTTATTCACATTAAATTCTGCATTGTTTCTTTCATCATTCTTATTGACATCTTTGTGCTTTCCTTATTAATGCCTTTGATGGTTTGTTTATCTGGTCCATTCTTTCTTCATGTATTTCTTTCGTTCTACAAGAAACAGATACAAGCCGGAAAGAAGACTCGACGCCGGCGACAAAGAAGCAAAAGACGTCGTCGACTCTGTCAACATAGAAAAACGGGGATCAATGATTCATCGCTCACTCGGACGAGCCAGGCGAGGCACTCAGATAGTAGTTGCTTGAGGGTCTGGGGTTTAGGGTTTAGGGTTTAGGGTTTAGGTTTAGAGAATAGCGGCAGTAGACCCCAAAAACAGAAGCGACCAGGCAGTCTAGGTGCCAGCACCCGTCACGGCACAAACATGAGTTGCAGACATGAAATGAAGGTGCGAAGTCTCGAGAATCAGTGATTCTCATTCTTTCTAGGATTTGGGGTTTGGGGTTTAGGGTAATGTTTCTTGAAGTGCCCTACAGGGACCCTACTTCACGGCGTTTCTTTTGGCACGTCGCCCCTTTGCCACGTCAAGCGGCCCAGGGGGCCCCACTACTGCCCTATCACCCTACTGGGTTTTTTCACCGGTTTTGGGTTTTTTTGCCACCCGACTAGCCACGGCAATGCGGGGTACAAGGTCGGAACTAAAAGGAAAAACTGGCACCCCCGAGCTGTGTGGCGGTTACAGGGGATATCGCCCAGAGGGCAGTCATGGTAGGACATTGTGATCGGATTGCATATCTGGGGGGGGGCTTCCACGTCTGGACCAAGACAACAAAAAACTAGATATCACAGGCAAGTAGAGGGCGATATGCGATTACAGCCCTCCCCCAAGTCTCGGTGCGGCAGACACCTTGGTCTGCAGCACTTTCTCCTGCGGCGACTTTGTACAACTATGCCTGATCGCCACCTACCTTGTTTCCTCCAGAAAGAAAGCCCCAAGTTAACTAAGTAGGATAACCAGCTAGGCAGGGGGAGGGAACTTAGATGGATAGGTGGTCGACCTGGACTATTCTCGTCGAGCACTTTCAAAGGCTCAGGGAGCTTCGGAACTCTGCTCTAGATTTCTTCAAAGGAGGGCTACCGTGTGCTGGTGTCGGGCCCTCTCTTGGACTACCCTAGCGCGTAGCAGCAGCGGAAAAGCATTAAAGTGATTAAAGCAACTACTATCAGTGCGAGCTGTCCTCTGCCACTGGCCTGGGGCTTTGGCGTGCTACAGTGTCACGCTGAGCCTTGCTTGGGTCCCTGCGGCTGGATGCATTAATGTGATGTGTGCACGCCTGTGGCCAATTACTAGGTGCCGGGCAAACCAGGAGCTTCAAGCAGGGGCCCAGGGGCACCGGCTCAGCACCGGCTCAGAAATGTCAGTCTTTACAGGCCCATGGTCACACCGGGATCCCACGTTTATGCATGCATTCATTCGATCGGGCTTGCATGCCGGGTTCCCTATAATGAATTACTAATTACGAATTATACTGTGTCAGTTGTCCAAATATTGCACAGGTTAGACAGTGCGGCCCCTTGGCTCGATCTGGCTTGCACGCCGAATTCCGAATTACTAATTATGAATTACCAATTAGACCGTGGCTCCAAAGCACTCCAACGCGCTATTTGCGAATTACACTGCATGGCTTCCGTCGTCGAATTAGTGACCCGTCGACAGGGTTGTGCTCATACAGGTGGGTTATAAGTTCAGTTATGCTGCATGGCTTCCGTCGTCGAATTAATGACCCGTCGACGTCCGGGGAACAACCGAGTGTGCCTCCGTGGTAGAAATGCCATTCAACTCGCCGGAGATATTGTAGCCACTTAAGGCTTGGCTCGGGTACGAAAACTCCTGGGCACTCCGACTTTGGAGTCCCAGACCTGAAGTTGCCTCTAGTGAAGAACATCGCCGTGTGGCTGTGCTGCCAGATGCGCTCGCGCTGTGCTCGGGCGTGTTCTCCTCTAGCTGCTTCGTTTGATGGGAGGATTTTGCCTCTGCACCACCCGACCCCCGGCTGGTGGCGCCGCGAAAAACTCCCCGCAACGCAAGGGATTTTGCAGCCACACGAGCATTCAGTTCTGCTCGGCTGCGCCGCTCTCCCAATTGTTGCCAAAATGCCGGCTCCAGAACATCTTCTGCAGTAGCCTCTGCAACCCGATGTGCTCTTTGCTCAACTGTCAAGGCCTCCTGCGTATTGGTATCCGCAAGAAACTTACGCATTGTCCTCACCACTGGGAGTGCTAGTGGAGTGTTGACAAGTCTTGAGCCAAAATGGCTACGGAGGTTTTGGGTTTTGGGTTTAGGGTTTAGGGTTGTGTGATTACGGTATCGGGCTTCGCTCCGAAATTTCAGGGCCTGTACCATACTTGAAGGTATATTCATATCTGATTAGTAATTGGGCACCCTACCCTGCAAACCTTAAAGCCCTGAACCCTCAAAAGCCAGGAGCGCGCCTGCCCACCCGGAAGGATACATCCAGCTTGGGATACATCTGCGCGTCCTCTGCCTTGCAGGGTTGAGGGTATCGGGTTTGAGTGTTCTACAAGGCCCAAGCTTGTGCGACACAGCGACTTCCAGCTGCAGGAGTCTGAGTCACTTGCTCTCAGAAACCACCATTTCACAAACACCCTCCGCATGAAACCCTAAGGTGGGATCGTCGCGGCCTCACACTTGAGAACGATGCTGCCTTTACCCTTGGCTTTCTTGAAGCCCCCACCCCTTTTGTTGTTGATGACCACCTCAGGGCAGGCAAGGCTTCGGGTCAGATCAGCAAGTGCCACACTGTAGAATAGAACCCCGAGCCACGGCAGCAGCAGACAAGAACTGAAAGCAACTGGCCTTCGGATGCAGGAACACCTGGCTGCGGGCACAAGGCACGTGAATCGGTGAGCCCTGCAAAAGCTTCGCCCAACATCCTCCCCTAGTCGTTCGGCCAAACAGTAGACTCAACTTCGGAGCAAACCCTCCCCTCCCCTTCCCTTCTCCCCTCCCCTTCTCCCCTCCCCTTCCCTGCTCCTCTCCCCTTCCCTTCCCCCCCGCCCCCTCCCCTGTCCCCTCCTCTGCTGTCTTAGGGCCTTAGCCTGGCATCCCACGATGCTGGCCTCCTCAACGAACCTAAGTCCACCTTAAGGTAGTTCCCAAAATGGGGGGGGAGGGGAGGGGGGGAGGGGGTAGCCCTTTTATACCCCGAAATAAAAGAGTGTGCCAATATTCCTGTAAGGCGTCCTCTGTTCCCTTCTTTGCATCCGGCTCGGCCTGTGCCTATTCCACAGGCGAAGCTCAAGCTGAAATCAAGCTGAGATCTGCCGAGCCCACATATGACTGACTTCGTGACAGAAGATAACATATTGGAACATCAGGAAGCCCTAAACCCTTTTGAGCCCGGAACTGAGGTCCACGCCCTGAACCCCAAACCCCCAAACCATGTTGAACCCAGACTGGACTGCCGAACCCTAGACCCGAAACCCCAAACCCTAAACCCTAAACGCGCCTTGAAGGGCAGGCTTCCGCCTTGGATTCCCAGCCTCAGTCCGGATCTGGTCTTTGACGATCATTGCCATTTTCAGATAAAGCCATATTATGGGTATTTCCCAAATAAGGGGGGGTACCCCTTTCATACCCCCAAATAGAATAGAATCCCCTTCAAAAGGATCCCCAAAGAAGGGCGCCCCCTATTTGCCTAAACCCCCACATAAGACGATCATAACATATTTGTAATAATCATACATTCCTACGTATATTCTTTAAGTCTACATTAGTTTGTTATTTCATTGCCTTTGCAAGTGTGTGTGGTTTGGGGCGTTCGGGGTGCGTGGGTTTAGCGTAGCTTTTGGGGGTTTAAAGGGGGAGTCTAGGGTTTAGGGTTTCGGTCTTAGGCAGCTCACAGCTTCTACAGTGGGGCGAAGATGGCCTGGGCCTCGGCTCGATTCCAAAGTGACGGCTGAAATTCAAAGGGGGGCGGGGCAAGGGGCGGTCACTTTAGCCATGCTGAACCTGCTGTTCAAGCCAGAAACTCCAGGGCCTGAATCCCCCCCAACGGCCAAATCTCTGCTGGTCATGGCGACTTCAGGGCTGCAAAAACCGGACCCTTGTGCAAAGGCTGCGGTGCCGACGTAAAGATGCTCGACACAAGGCGCACCTGGGGTTCGGGTCTTGAGGGCCTGAGGGTCCAAGGCTAAAGGGCACACAACTGCGCAAGCCATAAGGGCCATGAGCATCGATGAAGTTCGAGGAAGATTTCTCTGGCAGAAAGCAGGCCAGAAGAGTTTGCACACTTTCTCAGGTGCTGCTGGACTGCCCACATGCTCAGGTGCCGACCGTCGTCGTGTACAGCCTTAGATTATGTATGGTTAGATCCGCGAGCTGGCTGCACTCTGGCTTCTCTTCAATTCAATCCAAGCGGACTCAAAAAACATCATGGCGGTGCTGGTTTTGACCGAGTCACTGCCGGCTGTCTACACTCCAATGCACCTGAGACATATGCCATGAGCCGATGGCAACCGAGTCCAAAATGACACGTCTGCGTCCGCACGACCGAGGCGGCGGCATCCCAAATGCCGCTGGCAGCTTCCTGCCCCAAGGCTGAATGTTTTTGAGAGGAGACCCGTTTTAACCCCTGGGCTGAGGCCGGGACCCTAAACCCTAAACCCAAAATCCCCGCAGGGCCTCGCAGATGAGCTGCCCTATCTGGAGGTCGCCGCGCGGTGGCAGAGGCCCCTCCACTGGGGCTTCTGTGGGGACCTGGACCACAAAAGGTGCCCAAAAAAATGAGGCCCCCTAAACCCTAAACCCTAAACCCTAAACCCTAAACCCCTAAACCCTAAACCCTAAACCCTAAACCCCTCCTAAGATGTGCCCCTCTGTGCCGCTGCTGAGGCTTGCAGGAACCCTGGGGCCTCTGGGGCAGGAGGCTCCGCCAAGACGGGTGCCGGCATGGCCGGTGGCGGTGGGGGAAACCTGGGATGTGCTTCGGGCACATCGAATCTTACACAACTCCAATCGGGTTTGGGGTTTAGGGTTTAGGGTCTAGGGCTTAGGGTTTCGGGTTTAGGGTTTAGGGCTTAGGGTTTAGGGTTTAGGGTTTCAACGTGTGCCGCCTCAAGTAAGAGCATGCCGCCACAGCACTCACTTGCTTACACCATGCCGCGGAGCTTGGGCGTTGCGAGTTCCGTGACGGGCACCACCGAAGGTGCCAGCATCTCTTCCTTGAGAGCACCACATGCGGCAGCCACTGCAACACTAAGGCACTGAGGAAACACAGCCCTGATAAAAACAACGCGAGCTAGCATGCTACCAAGGCTCTAAGAGGATCTGCTTTTTGGGACGGTAGACCTCAGGCGGCAAGTGAGTGGGACCCACAGAGAGCTGGTTCTCGAAGCTGAAGGCATCGGGAATCCCCGGCAGCAAGTTCGCGGGCAAGTTCTGCGTCTGCATCGGAACTCCTGGAGCGCCGTGCATCGGGATGAAGGCCGGCGCCGAGAGCCTGGGAAGCTCCGGATCCTCGAAGCAGTCGGGAGTCACAAAGACTTCCAGTGGCAGAGGGGGTGGAGCAGCTTCTGCCTCGTCGACTGCTGTGGAATCCTCTGATCTGTCCGTTTCTGAGACGAACTTGCTGGAAATCCCGCAGAGTCCCTCCAGCCCCGGCGGGGGATCGGTCTGGGCCTTCTCCAGCATCAACGGCTTTGGGGCAGGAAAATCCAAGAACGTATTCTTTTCGAAAATGTCATACCGCCCCTCCATAAACTGTGGCAGATCGCCTCGGCGCAGTGGATTCCCTATATGCAAACTCAACGTCAGCTCTTGCACAATGAACAAGCCAGCGCGTCATCGACCAAAATTTGGAAAAGGAAGCTCATCCTCCTTGCACTTGCTATGTGCCTACTCGCTCTGGCCACTAGGAAATTTTGCGACATTCCATGACACGGCCAAGGCACTTTCAGCAGCGTCTGCCATGCTCGGGGCTTGTTGCCTACCTCCTTTCACACCTCCACTACTACAGTACTGCAGATGGAACCGGGAAAGGCGAGCGAACAGCAAGAACATATACTTCGACCGCGGCAACACGGGTATCTTGCCCCTTCCAATTGCGGTAAACTTTAATCAGCACTTGTGAAAGAGTCTCACAATTACTTGCTGCTTTTTGGGCCTCGGCCAGGCAACTGCCACTTTGAGATTCAGACGCATGGTGCCATGAATCGGCATCTAAGTGGATTCGACTGCTTGCAAATCTCACAAACTACACTTGCCGCCCATATGTGAGGCGAATTGGATGCTCCCCAGCTGTGTGAGTCGCACCATCCAGCAAATACTTGTGCATCGAGCACACGCCTTGAGCGGTGTACCTAAAAAGTGCACCACGCCACGAAGAACATAGCAACGCCCACAAGCGTGATTTGCCTAGAGCAGGCCAGCAGCTGTGCCTAATCGTCTTCATTTGCTGGCACCTCTGTTCTTAGCTTTGGTTCCTATGTCCTCCTGATGCTGAGCTTGCTTCAGGCTGTCATCCCCGTTGTATTCGCGACGTCGCCCTCAAGCCTACAAGCCCCAAGCCCTTGGTGAGGTTATTGCGTTGACCTGAATCTCCTCCCCATGTGCTCCACCCTCCCCCGTGAGCAATAATTAGGATGTCCATCTACCCTTGGCAACACAGCTCTGCCAGTCCATGGAACGCGGGACTGCATAGGAAGCTATCTAAGTGGGAAAAATGAGAACAGCCGCCCTTTCTTGTCCCAGCTGCTTTAGGCCCGCTACAGGCTTCCCTTCCTGGTACCCTCGGGCGCTGATGTCCGAGCAGCGCGCTTCATTCAGCATACCCGTCGAAGCAGAGGCACTCTGCCCAAAGCTAGGAAGCACGCAGGTACAAGCCGCATCATCGGAGCCCAAAGGCCGACGACTTGAGCTTGTCGATTTCCGCAATTGTAAGCTCCACCTCAGACGGCAAACAAGCAGCCATGAAATACCCCCTGATGCCCATCCCACTGTTTAAGATGCAGCTCAGCCACGCTAAACTTATCAGCGTTTGGATTGGGACGGTAGTTGCCCTCGGTGATCGCCTGTATGATACCTGCACCAGAAGCCGCTCTGTTTATTCAGGATGCAGAACCCAAGTGTCTGGGCGCTCTGCCCTGAACTCTCCTGAAGCGCAGCTCGAGGGTATTTCTCGGGACAAGCTTGACATGCAGACCCTCTCATGGTAGCCCAAGACATTGAAAGACCACAACAGTAGGCTGCCCCTTCCAGAGTGGACACTGCTACGTAACCACACGCAAATGCTTTCGGCTGTCACAACCATGCCCTCGAGAACCTAAGCACCGTTCCGCTGAGCTTCCGCTCCCGTTCTTCGTCCGTGTGTGTGTGTGACCTCACCTTGTGGTACCTATAAACATTCGAAACATTTTGCAAACATCGCCGAGTAGCTCTCGGCCACAAGATTCACTTGGGCTTGCGGGCTCCCCCTATTTTGGAAGCTGTGAAGGATGTGGGTGGTCTTCGCCTGCTTGTCGATCAGCCATGTGCCCCAGCTGCTCCAGACCTGGCTTCACAAATGAGCATGCTGCTTTAGGGCTAAGGGCTTAGGGTTTAGGGCTTAGGGCCCAGGGCAAATGAGCTCTGGAACAGTCAGAGGCCTCGATAGCTTGGGTCCAGCCGGGAGTCCTGGACATGTTCTTGCATTTCAGTAGGCAGTGAGCGTTCAGGGCTGCATCAGTAACCCCTTAGCCTTAGCATGTGCAGACTATATACCTTTCATCAATCAGCTCAAGAAGTCCAACAGCTTGTTTGGCAAAGCAATAGTAAAGGACAACATTGGTCGTGCAGGTGGCAGCAGTGCACGGCACCCAGTCCAGGAGGAAGAACAAAGCGCAATCAGTGAAAGAATTGCAGTTCTTCCTCGCGGGGCCATGTTTTACCCGACGCGGTGTGGACAAATCGCACCGAAAGCTGCAAGTCCTGAGCAAGTCGTAGGAGCCTGCGCCCGAGACCGGATGAAGCACAACGCAGAAGGATTGTGGCATGTGCGACTTCTCATAACCTTTACGGGGTCTAGGGTTTAATCGCTCACACTCGGACAAAGCCAGGTGAGGCAAATACTGTCATTGAGTCAGATTGGAGCCCTATTGGGCACACATGACACTACCACCTATTATCAAGCAGGCCTTGTAACTTCGGATGATCCGGGTGATACACCGGGAGATACTTACACCCCGTAAAAGCATCGCCAGGAGTTCTTGAGCCGCAGCCATACGGTTTAGGGCTTAGGACCTCATGAAGAATAAGGCTCCGAAACCTCGACCTCTGCTGCGCGAATCTGTGCAGGAAACCTGAACATAAACCCGGACAGGAGTCTTTCACTGTGCGGCACCCAGCCAGGCCTCGCTTGAAAAAACGTCCCAACTGTTCTCTCAAGTCCTCTCCAGACATCCTGGTCAAGCCCATGGGGAAGACCTGGCAGTCTCGAGTTCAACGCACGGAGTGCAGCTGCGCAGCTGTGCAGCTGCGCCACAGCCCGGTGCGTCCTTGCCTGCGGTTTGTCGGCCATGCGAACATGGCTTGGCAAGCCACGGCCCACCACAATGCCGTCCTAAAAATGCAGCGGAGCCCGTGGCAGCACGTGCTCTGAACGCGAAGTTGGGGCACGGGCACCGCTGAAGGAATACTCCAAGTCATCAATTTTCACGGACGTGTGATATGCCTGCACAAGCCAAGTGCGCATCCTGGATTCTCCGGACTCTCCGAGCATGGACCACTTGATTTCATCGGCAGAACAGGTCGATACAGGTCGCCCTCAATCCACTTTGCACTAATGGAAACTACCATTTCGAATTCTCAGCTGGAACTTCTCGGCAACCCACAGATGTCTACATTCGTTGCTGCCGGACCTTGTTTCTAGTTCAACGCGACGAAGTATCCTAGATCAAGTGGCCTGGAAGCCTGGAAAGCCGGGGCCCAGCTTGGAGGCCTGAGAATGGAGGGTGTTCGGGGATGGGGGGGGGGGGGTAGGGGGGGAGGGGGAGGGATGCATGCGGGGTGAGGCCACCTGCATTTTTTGGCTCCACAAGACCGCACATGCTCGACCTGAAAAAATGCTTTCAAGCCCACGGCTGCCAGCTCGATGCTGTGCCCTGCGGCCCCCGGATAGAGCGTCTGCAAGGCTGCCGGCCTGGCGACGGGCATAAGTCATAGATCGCTTGTTCTAGACGAGTTTGGTGAGTGGCTTTCTCATAGCCACGCCAGGCGCATGGGTGAATCCAGATTGCTCTGAAACGTCGGAAGCAGACGCGCTCTCTTTTTCTTATTGTTATTATTCTTCTTATTCTTATAATTCTTCTTCTTATTATTCTTCTTCTTCTGCTTCTGCTTATTCTTCTTCATCGTCTTCTTCGTCTTCTTCTTTTTCGCTCTCTCGCTCTCTCTGCACGCAAGGCCCCCTCCCGAAGGAGAGAGCCGCCCCGAGGGGCGCGCAATGTCCAAGGTCTGTTGCTGCCCATCTTGTTGGCAAGGTGAAAAGGCCGGAGGAGGGAAAAACATGCTCCCAAGGGGCACTGTTGGCTTGATCCCCTGGGTTGCCTGACTTTGATGGAGTGAAGAGGATGTCCGCCCTGAACTGGCCCTCCCCGGTTGAAATGAAGGAAGGCAGAGTCCTTCCCCCCATCCAATAACCGAAAACCCCCCAGTCCCCCATAAACACCCATACCCCGCGTGGAGGGAGAAGGACATGTCTGACTTGGATGCCTATCTAGAATGGACTCACTATGTCCCCTTGCCACAGTTTGGTGGGTCGGGAAAGGAGAAGACTGTTTGTTCGGTAACGGTTGCCTAACACTGCACTCCCTGCTACAGGCTGGCAGCTCGGGAGCACTTAGCGAGTTGAGTGAACGTCCCCCTACCCCAACAACCGAAAGTCCCCCACAATCACCTACCAGCACCCGGGACCAACGAGGGGAGGGGAACGTGAAAAGGTGGAGGAACTAAATTGGCGCTCACTTCCCTTTCTGTCTCAGCTGTGCTTCTCGACGGTGATGTGGCTGGCTTTACACCCTCTTGCTCAGTTTCCTTGGGAGGCGATGGTATTGCACATGCTCTCCTTGATATAGCGCACTCCATGTTGGCCAGGCCTGTGTCGAGGGACGATTGGTGTTTCACATGCCCCCTATTGTTGACTTGTGGTACCCCACTGTGGTTCGAGAGCTTCTATTGGGGTCGTTGGTGTTGAAGACGGTGATGTGGCGGGCTGTACACCTTCTTGCTCAATCTCCATGGGAGGCGATGGTATTGCACATGCTCTCCCCGATATAGCGCATTCCATGTTGGCCAGGTCTGTGTCGAGGGGCGATGGTGTTTCACATGCTCCCTCTTGTTGACTTGTAGTATCCCGCGGTGGCTCGAAAGCTTCGGGTGGGGTGGTCGGTGACGGTCTCTCCCAAGAGGTGCCTCGTTCTTCGTACATTTCGTGGCTCGGCAGGAGGTTGTTGTCCCCGGCGGGTATCTCTCTGGATGCTTCTGGGGCCGATGGTATTTCACATGGCCCGCCAGTCGTGGTCGCATCCCCGAGGGCTGTCTGCCGGGTTGTTGCCAGGACTGATCGCGTAGTGCCTGGCCCTCCAGCTGTTGTTGGGCCGCTCCTTGGTTGACCCCGCTGACTTGGTGGGCGTCGTGGCGGGTAGAAACCTCGTGGCGTTCGTCCCCCCATTTCATCCAGTCGGTGTTGTGCCGAGGTGCTGGCATGTGCTCCGGGATGTAGTCCCCCAGCATCATCTGCGGTATCGGCCATGGCTTGGCGCGTGGATTCCCCCTCAAATGCGAAACAGGAGTCCAAGTAACAGATGCGCACGAAGCGAAAGCCTTGACAAACTGTCCACCATATGGCACGCGAAAAGTACTACACTGCGGTTGCTGTTGGAGTCTCCCCCGGTTGTCCGCGATTAGGGAAGAAATTTCTAAGGTCCAGGCCCCGCTGACAAGGATGACAATTAGGGTTTGTAGGGGCGGACAAGCGGCTTCGACTTGAAAGGAGCGGCGCGGATGGCTCAAGCCCGGTTCGGGGGGCGGGTTCCCTCCCCAGACTTGAGCCACAAAAGGGAGAGAGCTCTCTCTCTCTCTCTCTCTCTCTCTCTCTCTTGCTACACTTCTTTTCTTTTCTTGGTTGGGGCTAGGACTACTCCGCACGAGAAGCAGAGGTCGCTCGCATTAGCCAACATCGAGCAGAGTAACATCAGCCAACGGGCCCGCTAAACCACTCTTACACGCCCCATCCAGTCCAGCAAGTGCCTGGCTTCCCTTAAAGCACCAGAATTGTTTAAGCTGCGCGCATCGACACTGTGGCATGGCGGTCGGAAGGGCCCGAGACATGCATGGGGCGTTGCATCCAGGGAAATAGTAGCGGAACCCGTCCATGCTTGCAGCTACCTGGACCATTTGCCAGCGAGTCTTGGGCCCGCAGACCTGGAAAGCTCTCGTTTCGAGGGTCTCCAGGACAAGACGTCTCGTGAGCTGATGCAGCACTCGCGCTTGAAGGTTCACTAGTACGGTTGTAAGTGTGTGTTCTAGGCCCGAATTGAGGCGTACATATATACACATATATACATATACATATACATATACATCTACATGTACATGTACGAACCTATTACCAAAATCAGGCGAACCACCCGTGAACCTTCAAGTAGTTGGGCTGCACATGGCAGGGAGCATCAGCGCTTGGAGTTCATCTGGGTCTGACCCTCCTTGCGATAGTCGATGCAGGTCGCGCACTTGCCTGAGACCCGCGCCCGAATACAGTCGCTATGGCTGACAGGGCCGCACTGCAGGGAACGCACAGGTGATCAGAGGAAAACTCACTGTAGTGGTTTCCCACCCCGCGTGACTGCGCAGCCTCTGATCCTGCAATGTGGTCGCATCGTGCTGCCGAGGGGCAGTGTCCTTTGGTCTTCCCGCACCAGCCCAACCTTGTCAGTGTGCAACCCCTACAACCCCTACTAGAATCCCTATTGAGGCCTGATAGGGATTATAGTGCCCCCTTTTATAATCCCTAATAAGGGATTCATAGGGATTATAGTGCCCCCCTATTAGAGTATCTATTCTGTTGGACCGCGCACCCAGGAGCTTTCTTTTAAAGATCCTTGCAATGAAGAAAGGCCATGGGGATGCTTGACACCACAAGCATCGTTTAGGGTTTAGGGTTTAGGGCTTAGGGCTTAGGGTTTAGGGTTTAGGGTTTAGGGTTTAGGGTTTAGGGTTTAGGGTTTAGGGTTTAGGGTTTAGGGTTTCGACTCTCACACTCGCACAAGGCTGGCAAGTTTAGGGTTTAGGGTATCCACGTGATTTTTTGAAGCTACGGCTCCATGTCTCGGAAAGTGTGTGTATATAAGCTGCTGGTCGTTTACCAGGTGATCGCTTTACAAAGCTGTGCTGCAGGTTTGGCCGGGACTGTCACATGGCAGAGACAGGATCCTAGCAAGGAGATGTCAGGAGCCCTGGGAATCATAACCTGCACACCTACATAGACATCATGCTGCACAAAGGGCATAGCAATATTGCAGTCATGGCACGCGCTACAGCAGGGCGTGATACTTAGCCGATCGCACTCCACCACCTCCTGCAAGAGCGGGGAAGTGGTTGACTGGGCCGCATTCTTCTGCCCACTTGCACTCTGGTCCAAGGCAAGAATGGGACATGCAGGTGAGGCCAAGCGCGTCGCAAAGGTGCTGTAAAGGCTTGAACTTGGGAGCTAACCACTCCAGTTTCGGGATTGAGCTTTGACGCATACTCGCACCATCAACAGTACAGGACAGGACGCTGCAGCAAGCTGCCGTGCATACTTCGCGCTGCATGCAGCTGCGCTTGCCTCCCAACAGTTATAAGTACGATCAGCATATCCTTATATTGTTTCAAACTTAGTAACCGAATGATAACATATGTCACTGATAAACAACACTTATAACAATAACCATACTCATAATGATTACTAGCTAATACCGAATATAACGATAACATGAATATTACACCTGTGGCTTGGAGGGTCACGTCGGGTCATGGACTGTCCTCATCGGGGAGCAGCGGAACTCGGCTTCCACATTTGAAGTCTGGCCTGCAACCGACTCCTCTGTCCCCCCCAAATGTGTGAGGTACCCGGGCGTGGTTCTCAATTGGGTTCCGATGTTGACTCACAGGGTTTGGTGTGAGAGTCAAGAAGACGATCTAGGGATACATAGACCTAAGCTCTGCTTAGCCTAAGTATCCATAAAACGGCCTGCACTAACGCGCACACGCGCACAAACCAACACGGCCCCACGCATGAAGCCCAAAGCCCAAGGACTTCCAACCCGGAGCTAAAGCACCCCTGCCCTCCCCAAGCCGCTGAGTCGGGCTCCCGTGCCTGAAGCGCTTGAAGGTTTTCGTGGCCTGCTCACCCCCCCCAACGTCACAGGATTTGGGACCAAGGCTTTGTATGACACGCTCCAGGGCACGCAGATTCCGTTCTAAGGTCCTTCCAGCATGCTAGGACTAGGATCCCACAATGATTGGTGTGTTCTGGAATCCAACTTCCCTGACCGATCTGCGGCCTCATTGTAGCCGATGAGAGCTCCTGAGCTGCGGGAGTCGAAAGCGATCACAACTTGGCCCATTGTCCGATGGGCGAGACAAGCTCGGAGCTCCGCTCTTCCAGCATTGCCCCAAAGTGCCCCCAAGTGCCCCCGCCGACCGCAAACAAGACCTGCGTTTTATTCTGTGCGAGGCTCGTTGCTCTTCTTCTTCACGCTTCTGCTGTTCTTCGGAGACCTGGCCCTCAGCAGCGCCGTCCTCACAGGAGTCTTCCAGTTCTTGAGAGCTTGCCATCATGAGTGTCAGATTGCTCTGCCTGAAAAAGTTGGCTTAGAGTTTTGGGCTTTGAAAAGATTGGCTTAGGGTGAAGGAGCACAGGAGCCGGTACTTCCGTGTGGCAGTCGTGTGCCCCAACATCTCCTCCGGTTCAGCCTCTGGCACCGGCTTCTCCTCCGCTGCTTCTGGCTCCTGATTTAGGGT